TTACTAAATTGGAGCTTCAGAATTAATCCATCTATGTTATTTAAATGCAACAGCAACTACTGTATTGGAGCCTCAACAATGGTCCTATATTATTTACTATACAGGCTTCCTCAGACTACAATGTAACAAACTGTTTCCACTTAAAAATTACATAATAATAATAATAATAATAATAATAATAATAATAATAAAATAAAAATATTAATATTTACTCTGTAATAATGCAACATCAAAAACCGAATGAAGTACATTATTGGAAAGGTGAGAGAACACTGATGCACTTGTCATCTTAATGTCCTCCTTGATGAGATTCAGGAGAACATGAGCAGCCCAGACCAACCCTTGGTGTCATAGTTCTTTACAATGAGTGTAAGGAGACCTTGCCTTGTGTAAGCATATATTAAAAATCATTTCATCCAGGTGGAAAGGAATCTGGAGCAAAGGAGAGGCTCATCAGAAGAGTTGTCAGGCAATAGAAAGGACAAGAAGAAATAGTTTTTTAAGTTCATAACTGTACACAGCACGAAATTTCCTAGAAAATCCATGATCTTAACATCTTGTATATGTGGTGTAGTGTTTTGGTAATCAAGTGTATGACAGCTCATTCAATCACTATAAACCATGCAGGGTAGTCACAAGGATTCCTGAAGCAAAAGCAAGAAATACTGTTTTCTGAGTAGAGGAGGTATTCTGTTCCAGGAGAAAATTGGCTTAGTTAATATATGCCAACACAATGTTCTAAGAGGATCTCTTTTAAGACAATCAATTATCCCTGGAGAAAGGAGAATTTGGCTCACCCTGCAGGAGAGTGCCTTCACTGTAAGATTAAAGAAAGGAGTTGATATAAGAGCACATATGAAGTTTTAGCCAAGAAAGGTGTTGTTCAAGAAGAGACCCAAGTGCACAACAGCACCATGTCTGGCATTCAGTTTCTTCCAGTCCCACAGTTTCACCTGTGGAAGAGGAGGGTCAAGTTTATTAAAAATCATCCATGTACATTCATGGACTGGACCCACCACTGTAGAGTCTACTGTTGGAAGAGAAACTGACACATGCAAATAGAAAAGTGGAGAGTTGATGAAAACTCATTTATCACCTCCACCTCCCATAACTGAGTCAATTTTCTTTATGACTCTTTGCAGACCCGGCAAGGAAATTCATAAGTGCATTGTTCACAGGGTGTCATGTTACTCCAGTGGAATCAAGACAACCTTGATTAGATGTCAGTCTAGATTAAAAACCAAACTGGAATGAGTCTGTATTTCATGTGAATTGTGAGGAATCCTGCATTCCAAAATGTTCAGAGAACTACTGAAGGTGGTGGATGTCAAAAGTGAAGCAGAATCCATAACTTTCACCTCACTCATAGATAATCACTGTTTTTGCAGAGGTGCCCAGATACAACAGTTTAGAAGCATATATGAAGAGATATAACATAACCCTCCAAACTGCCAATATCCCAAACCCCTCCTTTAAAGTGCAGGCATTATACTTCCGATTTCCAGGACTCAAGTCCAGCTATATAAAAATAACTGGTTTCCCTGAATCCTTTCACTAAATATTACCCTGCTCACACTCCAACAGCTCGTCAGGTCCCAAAAACCATTCGTCTCCATTCACTCCTATCTAACACGCTCACGCATGCTTGCTGGGCAAGAGGCTTGAACTTCCAGCAAGCATGCGTGAGCGCGTTAGATAGGAGTGAATGGAGATGAATGGTTTTTGGGACCTGGCGAGCTGTTGGAGTGTTAGCAGGGTAATATTTAATGAAGGAATTCAGGGAAACCGGTTATTTTTGTATAGCTGGACTTGAGTACTGGAAATGGGAAGTACAATGCCTGCACTTTAAAGGAGGGATTTGGGATATTGGCAGTTTGGAGGGATATGTTATACATCTTCATATATGCTTCTAAACTGTTATATCTGGGCACCTCTGCAAAAACAGTGATTATGTATGAGTGAGGTGAAAGTGTTGAATGATGATGAAAGTATTTTATTTTTGGCTCACCCTATCTCGGTGGGAGATGACCGACTTGTTGAAAAAAAAAAAAAAAAAATGAAGAGGGGCAAACTCTCCCTCAATCCTTAGTTCCTGATTATAGGTCAACAAAATCAGGTGAAGCTCTATGGAGCTGTCTCAAGCCCATAAGGTCTGCCATGAAATGGTTGGTTCCCCCATGCAAGAGAGAGTCCTGGTGAATAAGTACATAATGAGAGGTTGAGTACCATATAATAAGGCACTAAGGCACATTGTTCTTCAGCACTGTAAATCTAGCACTGGTTCAAGTCATATTATCCTGTATCATAAAATTCTCAAATGAGACCTGGGACTCCGTCCATTCAAGCTCAATTTGCATTTCGGAGATCGTCTCTCTCTAAGTTGATCTAACCTCATTAATATTTTCATTTATAAGAAAGAAAGCCTAAAAGGAAGAGACATTTGGGTGGGAAAATTTACTGAGAACATTTTTAGTGAAATTCCACAGTTGATTTTCAAGTTAATTATTGTGCATCAAGCCTAAATTAAACAAGCATCATAAAAAAGTATATACACTATATTCTGAATCCTACATGGGAAAATCATCAGTAAAAATACTGAACAATCAAGATCAGTGACTTAAGATCTGTGCACTCTGGAACCAATTTTGTTTTCTTTAACACATCAGCCGTCTCCCACTGAGGCAGGGTGACTCAAATACATGAACAGCTGAGGTGTAGAGCCTCAAATCATACTTCCTGTACCATAATTCTTCACTGCCACATGAAATGGCCATGCAAACACTCTTTCCACTACCTTCCCATAAGCACTTGATACCCCCTAACATATCTATGAGCATATGTAAAAGCATACTTAATGTGTTGTGTCAGATAAAATAGGAGTTGCTGATACTGCTGCCTTACTTAACCATTCTGCCTCCCCACCCCAGGAGAGAGTGAATCAGGGAGGAAGGTAAAAGAGTAGGAGAGATGAAACGGGAGAAAGGGGAAGAAAAACAGAGGAAAGGGAAGAAAAGGACTCACCAGTATTGTACATTCCTTTGAATTTCATTGGGAAAAACAAAATTGAAGGCAGAATATTATGGTTGAGAAATGCATCTCGGATTGTAGAGCACTTTAATTCTATCAATTCCATATCCATATATAGAAATACTCTTTGCAATAAGGTTTCCTCATCTTAAATAATGTTTAAATAAGCTAACAATGTTCCAAAACATACCAAGGAAAATACAGTACAATTAGAGACTTTAATATTTATATCTTGCTTATTACCACAGTGAAAGACAGGAGTGTCTGCGCTAATAGGAGTTGTTTTTTTATTTAACCCTTTGACTGTCGCAGTCGTATATATACATCTTACGAGGTACCGTGTTTGACGTATATATACTCAGAAATTCTAGTGGCTTCAAATCAAGCAGGAGAAAGCTGGTAGGCCCACATGTGAGAGAATGGGTCTGTGTGGTCAGTGTGCACCATATAAAAAAAATCCTGGAGCACGCAGTGCATGAGAAAAAAAAAAACTCAGACCGTTTTTTTAATTAAAATGCCAACTTTGTGGTCTATTTTCATATAGTATTTATGGTTGTATTCTCATTTTCTTGGTCTCATTTGATAGAATGGAAAGAATATTATAGAAATAGAGGTGATTTTGATTGATTTTACTATAAAGAAACCTGGAAATGGAGCTCAAAGTAGGGGAAATGTTTAATTTTTGCCAATGTTCAAAAGTAAACAAATGATGTCATTGTCCAATAAATGTCCAACTAGCCATTCTAATATGCAGTCATGAATAGGTTGCTGTTATTTATTACAGTATAGCAGTAGTCTGCGTAATAGTATATCTTCTATTTTTTGTTTGAATAAAAATTCAAAATAGAAAGCAAGAGTAATATCAGAGGGGCCTGGAGACGTGACTGATAAACAAAGAAAATGTTATTTTAGAGCCAGGAATGTCTGCATTGTTCATTCTGGACCTTATTTTGAAATTGTCATATTTTTTAATTTTCGTGACATTGGCCAAATTGCAAATTTCTGACCACGTTATTGGGCAGTTGAAATCGGTAAATGGGCAGTTTCTTGTACTCAGTCGATAGAAAAAACAGAGTTCTAAAGAAATAGCTATGAGTTTGTTCGACTGGAATAATGGAATTAGCCAAAAATAGGGCTCGAAGTGGGTGAAATCGCAGATTTGTAAATATCGCCAAGGTTGCTAACTTCACGAGAGCGTAATTCCGTCAGTTTTCCATCAAATTTCATTTTTTTGGTGTCATTACAATCGGGAAAAGATTCTCTATCATTTCATAAGAAAAAATAATTTTTTTTTGAAATTTTGCAACACCAGGAGACACCTCAGGATTGGGGGTTGCGACAGTCAAAAGGTTAAAAAATCTGTGGAAACCCATCCATCTGATTGATTTCTTTTCGAATATATCTTCATTTTTTACTACCACTTACTGACAGTCAACTCCATATAAAATATTAAACTAAAATACCTATTCCAGTTTGGAGGGACTTCTAAACTGTCGTACCTGAGTGCCTCTGCAAAGACAGTGATTATGTATGAGTGAGGTGAAAGTGTTGAATGATGATGAAAGTATTTTCTTATTAGGAATTTTCTTTCTTTTTGGGTCACCCTGCCTCAGTGGGAGACTACCGATGTATTAAAAAAAAAAAAACTATTCCATAAATATTGTTTACATCACAGCAACATTTCGAATGTCAATCAGGTTTCCATCATATTTCTGGTCTTTGATCATAAAGCTCATAATGATCCCTTAACTAAATAGAGAAAATTGAAGTATGTAAATAAATATTAATGAAAAGTAGGACAAACTTTACAAACAATAGCACAGTACAAGAATGTAATATAAATATGGTAAAGTGATTGGCCAATACCAGGAATGACATACAGTATCTTACTACCTTTCAAAATAACGTATACACCATAATACCATTCTAAGGTATCTTAAAAAGCATAAAGTTATCAATTGCTGCAGTCTTACCTTCGTTTCCTCATACTATCCCTTATATTATCAAGTTTCTCTTTCTGTTCCAGCATTTTATCTCTCAACTCTTCCCTTTTCACTGACACCTTTTCCTTAATTTCATCCCTCTTATCTGATACTCTTTGTACCATTTCACTTTTCTTTCCTTGATACATCTCAACCATTTCCTCTCGTCTCTCTTGATACTTGTCAACTAGCTCACCCTTTTTCTCCTGATACTTCCCTACCATTTCCTCTTTCTTTTCAATGAATTCCTCCTTTTTACCTTCATACATCTCCTTGAGCTTCTCAGACGAAGGCACAGGCTTTATGTAACCACGCTTCTTCAAGTAATTGATTGCTAGTGTTGTTCCACCTAAAATAGCAGTAGAAAATGCTTTGTAATTTAATAATGCAATTACTGGCACATTTGCTTAGAAAGTAAACTTATGTATATGAAAGCCAAGTTGCCAGAGTATTTTATTTTTAAGAAATGGAGAACAACAATCTTACTCTTAACCCTTAAACTGTCCAAATGAAGATCTACGTTTTTTCAATATTTGAAAGTATGTAAAAAACGTAGATCTTCATTTTTTTTTGTTTTACATTTCAAAGCATGTAAAAAAACTTGGATCTACTTTTTTTTTTTTTTGTTATATTTGAAAATATCCTAGGTAGTAGGTTGGTAGACAGCAACTGCCCAGGGAGGTACTACCGTCCTGCCAAGTGAGTGTAAAACGAAAGCCTGTAATTGTTTTACATGATGGTAGGATTGTTGGTGTCCTTTTTTCTGTCTCATGAACATGCAAGATTTCAGGTATGTCTTGCTACTTCTACTTACACTTAGGTCACACTACACATACATTTTTTTTTTTTTTTCAACAAGTTGGTCGTCTCCCACCGAGGCAGGGTGACCCAAAAAAGTACATGTACAAGCGTATATACACATACCCCTCTGGGTTTTCTTCTATTTTCTTTCTAGTTCTTGTTCTTGTTCTTGTTTATTTCCTCTTATCTCCATGGGGAAGTGGAACAGAATTCTTCCTCCGTACGCCATGCGTGTTGTAAGAGGCAACTAAAATGCCGGGAGCAAGGGGCTAGTAACCCCTTGTTCTGTATATATTACTAAATGTAAAAGGAGAAACTTTCGTTTTTCCTTTTGGGCCACCCCGCCTTGGTGGGATATGGCCGATGTGTTGAAAGAGTGAAAGATTTGAAAATATGTAAAAAAAACGTAGATCTACTTTTGGAGCACTACGCATGTGAATGTAGATCTATGTTTGGACAGTTTAAGGGTTAACACCAATTAGTTCAGTATCAGGTAACTATAATTTAATATAGTACACAATTCATAAAAAACTTAATACCTACCTATTGTTATAGTATATCTTGCAGGTGTTGCAATTTTGTACATAGCATAGGCAATAGCATAATAACCTGCATTGCTGTTCTGCAAGTGAGACAAAATGTTCTCTCCTGCTCCCAACTTCTCCAGTATTGGAACTATATCAACACCACTGTAATCAATAAATACATAATGAAAATTTTATTAGAATGAATAGTACTTTAATATTTGTCATTATTTAAAATGAGGCTAAACCCACACTAAAAATAAGAAGAAAACCGTCAAAGTGGGATGTCTGAATGTCCTTGGATGTAGTACGAATGATAGGAGATGACTGTGGATGTTATGAATGAAAAGAAGCTGGATGTCCTGGCTCTAAGTGAAACAAAGCTGAAGGGAGGTAGGAGAGTTTCAATGGGGAGAAAAAATGGGATTAGGTCAGGGGTTTCTAATAGAATTAGAGCTAAGGAAGGAGTAGCAGTGTTAAAGGATCAGTTATGGCAGGAAAGGAGGGAATATAAATGTATAAATTCAAGGATTATGTGGAGTAAAATTACAGTTAGATGTGAAAAGTGGGTTATGCACCTGGAGGAGAGAGATTTTGGGAAATGTTGAGTGAGTGCGTGGAGAGTTTTGAACCAAGTGAGAGAGTACTTGTGGTTGGGGACCTAAAAGTGGGTAAAAAATTTTGTGGAGGGAGTGGTAGGTAAATTTGAGGTGGCAGGAGTAAATGAAAATGAGAGGCCTTTAATTGAACTATGTGTAGAAAGAGGTTTGGTAATAACATCTCACCCACTCTCTCATTTGCTCTCTTTTTACATTGCTTCACCACTCTCTTAACCTCTCTCTTTTTCTCCATATACTCTTCCCTCCTTGCATCACTTCTACTTTGTAAAAACTTCTCATATGCTAACTTTTTCTCCCTTACTACTCTTTACATCATCATTCCACCAATCGCTCCTCTTCCCTCCCGCACCCACTTTCCTGTAACCACTACATTTTTAAACCTACCCCATACCTCTTCGACCCCATTGCCTATGCTCTCATTTGCCCATCTATCCTCCAATAGCTGTTTATATCTTACCCTAACTGCCTCCTCTTTTAGTTTATAAACCTTCACCTCTCTCTTCCCTGATGCTTCTATTCTCCTTGTATCCCATCTACCTTTTACTC